CATAAAATCTCAACCAAAGCATGTAAAATTCAAGTAAAAGAAATGTTAACAATCTAACAAATGAACTAAATCATGCAAAATTCAAGTCACTCTGGAAAAACTATAATAAACATTTATTTATTATTTTTATTTAACATATTTCTCAATATATAAAAAAATGCGTTGACAAATTTACATAATCGACGTCATCGATTATTTCAGCTAATTGGTGCAGCCCTAATTTTATGTCATTAAATAATCAAACCTTGAAAATAACATTATGCACATTTTCATACACAGTGTGTTGGGGATAATTCAGCTATGACTGCACTTAAGTTTAGCTGAATATCTGTCAAATTTACTGATTTATAGTCTTTTTGTGTTGGTTGATCAGCTGTGGTGGCCATCTTTGATTTAGCTTTCGGCTACAACTTTTAACAGAGCTATCTCTCTGCTACCAGAATACCAATTTTTAGCTCGTTATATCAAAAATTAGGCTAAATTAAAGTTACTTGAATTTAGCTGTAGCAGCCATTTTTGATTTTTTATTTATATTTTTTGGCTACTATTTTTAATAGAGCTAAAACTCAGCTACGACTACACTTAAGTTTAGCTGAATATCTGTCACATTTACTGATTTAGTCTTTTTTGTGTTGGTTGATCAGCTGTGGCGGCCATCTTTGATTTAGCTTTCGGCTACTACTTTTAATAGAGCTAACTCTCAGCTACCAGCATACCAATTTTTAGCTCGTTATATCAAAAAAATTGGCTAAATTAAAGTAATTTGAATTAAGCTGTAGCAGCCATATTTGATTTTTTCAGCTATTATTTGTGATAGAGCGAACACTCAGCTACTACCACACAAAGTTTAGCTCAATATCTGTCAAATTCACTGATTTATAGTCATTTTTGTGTTAGTCGATCAGCTTTGGCGGCCATCTTGGATTTTTTTTCAGCTACTACTTGTAACAGAGCTAACTCTCAGCTACCAGTGTATCAAATTTTAGTGCATTATATCAAAAATTTGGCTGAATGAAAGTTATTTGAATTTAGTTGTGGTGGCCATTTTTTATTTTATTTATTTATTTATTTATATTTTTTGGCTACTATATTTTATAGAGCTAACACTCGGCCACAACCGCACTTAAGTTTAGCTCAATATCTGCCACATTTACTGGATTTTGTCATTTTTGTGTTGGTTGATTAGCTGTGGCGGCCATCTTGGATAGGGCAGACCCCGAAGGTTCTCACTTATTAATGCCCATCCAGTAATTATTGAGCGTTAGTAGATATTTTGCTAACAGTACACACACAGGCAACCTGCTGATTTTACATCCTTTTACTTATGTTTGCTTCTTCCTGACTCTGCAGGGCTCACAACTCAGATGTGGAAATTATTAAAAGGGTTACAAACTCCTGACAGACTTGCACACACCATGAAATAATTTAAATATATATATTTATACAGTCAATCAGGTAAATATAAAACAGAAAATGAGATGCACGTTGAGTGAGGCCCAGACGTTTTCATACGTCAGTGTAAAATGCCAGTTTAATCTCCTGACAGACGGGTGGTCTGACCTGTAATTCTGATGTCCGTACCTGCTGTACCCCCCCTCCCCGTGTCAGTTCAGCTCCACGCTGCAGTCGTTTGTTTGTGGACGGCCCACAGGGACTTCACACAACATGTAACATGTCAGCGCTAAGCTAACGGTCCTGCGAGCTGCCGGCGTGTCCTCGTCGTCTGCCACCTGCTTACCAAAGACAGTCATCACGTGACGCCAAACACCGAAGATGAGCTGCAGAAATAAAATAAAATAAAAAAACCCTGATGGTTTGAAGACGTTTAAAGAAAGTGAAGATGTGGGCCAGCAGAGTGCAGAGACAGCCAATGAAGTGTGACTTATTAAAACTGTCTAACTGCAGTGGCTAACGGTTAACAGACTTTAAAGCTCCAGCGGAGGACGCTGGAGGCCGAGGGCCTGAAGGAGGTCAGGGTTCAGTCAGGCGTAGAGTTTCTGTCACGTTCGTCCGTGTTCTTAACGTCCTGTTTGTGTGCGTTGGATGTTGATCTTTTTGTTTTTTTGTCCCCGCCCCCTCCCCACCCCACCCCGGACCACATGGGTGCAGAGATTTCCTGTCTGCAATCAATCCACAATGGCCTTGAATCTTTTCTGCTCGGGTGCACGTGCGCGTGCACGGAGGGTTTTTAATGAGGTGCTTTGTATAAAAAGTGACAATAACATTTATTACAGATGTTGTGTAAATCATTGATATTCTGTTTATCCTATTTTGTGAAACGTTTAAAGGAGGTAGTGATGTGTGTGTATTGGTCCTGCACAGGGTCTGACCTTTGCTTGTAACCC